GAATATCTACCTATAATAAAATGTTTCTTATCTTTTACACTTTAGATTTATATGAAAAAAAAATTTAATGGTTTTCTCTTTCATGTGAAAGGCAAAGAACTAGGTAAGGATAACCCCCACCCCACAAAAATTCCAACCAATGTTTCACTGTTTAACATTCCTCCATTTGAAGACGAATCCAAAGCCAAAAAATTTTCAAACTGAAAACAAAACTCTTGCTTATGAATCATCATTGCTATTACATCATACTAAATGAAAATATAAACCTATAAATAGTAACAAAACAACGCTAAGAACACACTTCTCCTCCACTATAAAATGTAAACACTGTGCCCACTAAATCAATAGGTTGATTCGCATACAAAATAACAGATGTGCTAAGAGTTTAATATTCTCATTTATTTCTCTTCAAAGCCAAATTCACAGCTTTCAAAGGGAACAGGTTTTGTTTTCATGACATCACAGTAGTTCTCACTTAACTTTACTTCAAAGCATCCTCAAAACCTTAAGTTTAATTCCTATTTCCATTTATATTCATTTACATCTACAAAGCAAATCAGTGTCCAAAAGTCATCACAATAGCACTTCTCTGCTTAGAACTAGAATTATAAACCAAATTAGAAAAAATATTGAAATTTCCATTATCCAATTAGATACTGTGCTACCTTGCAATACAGAGTTGTTTCAGGTCTTTATTAGTGATACTTAACTATAAGAAATGACATAGCTAAAAAAAAACACAATTATGTAACACAATTAGACCTTCCAAATAAGGAAAGACTTTTTAAAGTAAAGAACCAACTGCAGGGAACTATGAGCTTGAATATGGGATAAAAGTAGAAAAACATAGGTGATTTTAGAATGAATGTTGAAATGGTATCTAGTTTTCTGTTATCAGATTCTAAAAATGTATCCCCGATCTCCTTACCAATAAATAAATCTTCTTTATCAATCAATCAATCAATAAAGGGTAAACTAAGCTAATGTCTTACCTTGACTGAATAGCAAGATAAATTGTACGACGAAATGAGACCAGATTAATTTCTGTTTTGTCGTGAATAGTCACTTTTTGTCCTGAAAGAATATCAACATAACAAAATCACAAAACTGCAGAAGAAATGTGAAGAACTTAAAATGTTTCTCTGTATAATATTTTCTTTCATAAATTTATTTAGAATTTCTCAGAATTTAGTGATATTCTTTTTGACTCTCAGAAAATTCATATTAGCAGTATAATTAGTATTTACAGAGTTCCAAGTAAGTATTTCAAGTCTTTTGCCTGATCACAATGTTAGCTAGAAGAAGTACAGAACCAAACCAAGAAAATTATTTTTGGTTTCTGTGTCACCTGCTCATTCTGACATTGTTAAAGGATGCACACATGCTGTTGCATGGTAAAATATTATTTCTAGACTTATAAACAATATCTTGATAATTTGGAAGAACTATAACTTATGGATAGATATTCGGTTTCAGAGAACATTGGATCATCATGACAGGTTA